CTAAAAGATCAAAAGTTCCTCTTTGGAACTCAATCAAAAGTTGTCTATTTGGCAACGCACAAACAAGGAGCCTAGGCAACCATTCAACACAAGCAGGCAAGCGTTTCCGGCACCTGGTTTTTGAACACGCACATTCTCTGCCAGCAAACACGCTTTTGTGAAAACACAGGCTTTTAACCACCCATCCAAACCCCAATGTAGTGGAAGGACGCCACGTATTTCATCTTGAGAACTCCGTTTAAACAAAAACATATTAATGACGTGGCTCTAAAGGCTGAATCCTGCAATTCTAGCTCTCTTTACCTAACTGCGAGACCCACTGCGCAGAATAAATACTTTTATTACGTCCACCCTGGCGTGTTTATTGGGCAAAATTGCATGCCAGGCTAGGACCCCCCTCCGAGTTCCTGGGACGACAAGGCTGACTTGGAAGGAGAAATGTAGAGAAGCGCACAGTAAAATGCATTCAGATACTTTGTTTGCAATAGCCTCCCCCACCCCCTGCTGACTCTGAAAGCTTCACACGTTAAATGTCGGTTTCCCGAAGAATCGTCAAAGACAAGAAACCAAGCACCTTTGCAGAAGTGATGAAGATGGAAGTCCGCGTCTTTCCTGCCTGGATTTGAGTTAGGAACCCTGGAAGAAGTGGAAATATTTCCAAAGAACCCGATTCCCTTCCCCTAAAGGAGCATTTAGCCACGTCTTTAATCTACAGACAATGTGGCCGTGAAAGCGGCTCCAGCTGTCCACGACTGTAAACGCTGCTTTCGGCCAGGGGGGAACCAAAGAAAACGGCTGAATTGTAAACCCGACTTCATTTCAGTGCCGCGCCTTCTTCTTTCACAGAACTCTGGGAAATGTAGTCGTCCGTTATCCTTGCTCTAGCTCAGGGTTTCTCAACCTTCGCAGCTTTGTGTAGACTTCAGCATGATGACTGGGGAATTCTGGGAGTTGAAGTCCATGCATCTTAAAGTTGCTAAGGAGGGATTTCTGGGAATTGTAGTCCACACATATTAAAATCGCTGATGTTGAGAAACACTCTTCTAGAGGACTACTTCTCCATCCTTGTAAAAA